GGTTGATGTTCACTCCGGGACTGAAACCCAGTACCATTCGCTGCAAACTCCATCGCGTTATCTACTTAACTTCTGAGTCCTGATAGCCACCTGCTTGTACAATGTGGCGAAGTTTAATTCACTTGGTATTGTTTGGCTTGTATCTTACCATTGTTGTTTAGGACTGTATATGTGCATTCCCTACAGACTGTGTCGATACTGCTTTAGTCACAAGCTTTATAAGCAAAGATAAGTAGTAGCTAGCAGTGGAATCCAGGACGCGCGTTTCTTCCTATTTGGGACGTCCACGTGACGGGTCAATATCCAATACATCATTTCTACAGTGGTTTATTCTCATGTACACACTTCTACTCATGATTCATTAGTTCATTAATAGTCTCCTTGCATTTTATTAACTACTGTAGTTAAATACATACAATTGACTGTTGTTCTTCTTCTTCTTTATATCTTTGATTAACGTTAAATATTTACTATGAGTAAGTGAGGACAAATTGATTTGGCGGGAGTTGTAAAGATTATACATATAAAATGGTAGCAGGAGTTAATGTTGATATTTTAGATTCTTCTCGCAAGGCTGTAGAATATATTTGTATTTAGAAACTATAGTTATGTACTTTAAGCAATCTATTAAGATAAAACAAAATCGAACTCACATTTCAGTTGCTTTGATTCTAATGAATGAATATTATAGAAAGAAAAATCTTAGACAAATGCTACATATTCCTTACAATTATCTACTCAAATAGACATTATTAGCTGGTGTTGAAGTAAGTTAATGGTAGGCTAGGCGTGTTCAAACTAAAACGTGACATAAGTCCATAGAGCAATTGGCTGTTGATCTGAGCTATATTAGTATATGCAGACTGATTATCATGATCAATGATCAGGAATCTTGAGTAACATGACTCCGAATTGATCATAATGACATAAATCCATTCATCTTTTATCTTGAGGTCCAGTATCCCTTCATACATACCTTTTTATTCCTTCTTTCCTAACCATATTCTTGATTCTTAGTCTTTCTTATTATCATTGCTACTACATAATTTCCACTTGTTCAGTATTTATTTTGTCGTGCTAATGTAGCATGGTGAATTGGTTTATACAGGTTAGCCAGACTCCACGTTGATTATCAATAATCAAATGATCAGATATTTTAGTGTCACGAGCCCTTTACAAAGTTAGAATCTTCAATACAAACATGAGCACAGTTCTCCTGTACGGAGCTGAATCTTGGAGAGCTACTACAACCATCATCAAGAAGGTACAAGTATTTATAAATAGTTGTCTACGCAAGATACTCAACATCCATTGGCTGGATACCATCAGCAACAGCCTTTTGTGGAAGAGAACAAATCAGCTTCCAACTGAGGAGGAAATTAGGAAAAGACGATGGAAATGGATAGGACATACAGTACGAAAATCATCAAACTGCATCATGAGGCCAGCCCTAACTTGGAATCCTGAAGGGAAGCGGAAAAGAGGAAGGCGAAAGAACACATTACGTCGGGAAATCGAATGAAATATGAAAAGGATGAATAACTGGAAAGTATTGCCCAGGACAGGGTTGGATGAAGAATGCTGGTGAGCGGCCTATGCTCCTTCACGAGGAGTAACAGGCGTAAGTAAGTAAACACTTTACACAAATCATTTTAGCTCCAAGTCACGACCTAGTTACCTTTCTAATCTTCAACTACATTTCATGATTAATACAACGTTAAAATAATATCAATGTGTTTACATTTTTGTATAGGTGAAGGTGATATGGCCGTATCAAATGCAGTAGGTAGCAATGTATTTGACATATTAATTTGTATGGGTTTACCATGGTTAATTAAATCAATCATTTCTCAAGCGCCAATTGTCATCTATTCTAGAGGTTAGTTGTTTCCTTAGTATAATGTAACTTGAATATGTACACAGTAAATAGTTATAATTGAGTAGCAACTGTTTTGGTTGAGAATTTCTAATCCATAAGGCATTGGAGCAATGTTAAGAGATTCAGTTACATGGTAGGCAATTAACAATAATTGGTTCAATACGGTTTTTGTTCACCGTGGAGCCTATGTGCACCGTTGGTTTAGTATCAGTATTTTCCAACTGCCCTAAGTGTATCTTTTATCTCCACCAACCCCGGTTAAATGGACAGACATTCGCAGTAAGATTTCCGTGGCAATGGCTATATATGCGTAGATATATGAGAGCATTTCTAGAGGAAGTGTGGACTCTCCCCACTCTCGACCTTGAATTTAGTCACTAGGAATGACCTGATTGTTATTAGTATTGCTAATTAATCCAAAGAAGTCCCATACTAGAACGAAACAAGTGTTCAGTACTTGTTGGTTATTTATCGCCCCCGAATGCCCTGGTACGTCCGAGAGTGGGGAGAGTCCGGTCTACCTCTCGAAATGTTCTCACATGACCACGCGTATATAGCCTCTGCCAGGGAAGTCCTACTCACTGAATTCTCGTGTCGGGGGTGTTGTTTACGAAATTAAGAGAACCAAGAGCGAATGTCCGGCGTTTTAACCAGGTTGGTGGACATGAAGAGTCCACCTAGGGGAGTTGGAATACCTTCATTCCAAACCAATGGTGCACATGGGCTACAGTATTCTGAAGGAATAAATGGCGTATGAACCAATCGTTGGTCACCAGCTACCATGGGACTTGATCTCCTTACGTTGCTCCACTGTCTTGTGGATCAGACCTTTAGACTAAAGGCTCCGGGTGTGTCCACCTAAGAAAACCATCTGTTTCGGTTTGGACACCCTGGTAGTATCACAGCCTTCACACATATCAAATGAGATTTGTGTGTCGCATATGTATTTGATGCCTCCTTGTACCAATATCTATGTGTTGAAATAAAGAAAAATCATGTCAGTCCGTCAAATATAAAAACCCTCTGTATACGATGACATACATTTAATACCATCTATTTTTCTTTTTGTTTTCATTGTCATCATAGGTTTATTATATTCAACATTGACTTTATTCACAACAGTTATATATCTTCTAGTTGCAACCCATATTAATCGTTGGCGTTTAACTAAAATTTATGGTTATGCATTACTTATTGGTTATATTATTGTACTTGTATTCTGTAGTTTATATGAATTGAATTATTTTGGTACAGTCCATTTACCATCATGTCCATTAAATGAATAAATATGAACTATTCTATTCATATACATATACATATATATTCATGCCATAATATGAAAATATAGATGAAACTTCCTCAATGAATATAAATATGCTATGTACTACTATTATCATTATTATTAGTAGTACTTCACTGTTCTATGATTTGTTTGTCTTTTTTCCTCATTTGTCTACTTTATTACAATATATTAGTAATAGTCAAGAGTTATCTCTATCTCTATTTTATTCCGTATTCTGTTGAATGCTAATCCTGTTATTCACAATAGAAAAAAAAAACATTTCATAATGCATAATCCAAACATTTCTTATTTGTAAATCAACCTTGTTAACCATTTTTCTTTTAATTCACTAATCATATTTCTATCCAATATTTTGTTGTCAACAGTCCTTTCCCCCCTCCCGTTTTTTTCTATTTCTCTCTTTCTCTATGTGTGTGTGTGGCTGTTTTTTGTGTTGGGCTAACTAGGGTCATCATTATCATCATCATATTACTATTATTGATTTTTCCGTTTTTATTTCGAAGCATTTTAATTGGGATTTTTATTTCATCAAATGTTATGGGTTGAAATATATATATATATATATATATATATCCTTTCTATGGTATATGATTTCTTTATTTGTTATTGGGACAATACAATAATTATTGCCCATAGTTTTGATTAATCTAACCAAAACAAAGGGGAAATTATGCATCATTAGAGTGTTTCTGCCCTCCCCACCAAATGCCTTGGTAATGCCGAGAGTGGGGAGAATTCACTGTCGCTATCGAATGGCCACTGCCTTCTGGCGGTGGGGGTGTTGTTTACGAAATTTTGAGGACCAAAAGCGAATTTTCGGTACTGTGACCGGGTTGGTGGAGAAGGACGATCCATCTATGGGGTTGGAAAACACTGATTCCAAACCAATGGTGTACATTGCTTCCAGAAACGAATGGCGTATGAACTGATTATTGGTTACCGGCTACCGTATGACTGTATCTACTGACGTAGCTCCACTACCTTATGGATTAGACCTTTAGGTCGAAGGCTCTGTGCGTGGCCACCTAAGAAAACTAACTGCTTCAGTTTGGCACCCGGAAAGTGTCGCAGCCCACACACAAATCGAGTGACTTGAGTGGCGCATATGTATTCGGTGCCTCTCCGTAGTAATATTTATTTAAACAAATAAAAGAATACTCCTAGAGAAGGATATACGAGTAATGATGTTGTATAGGTGGTTAATCCGTTTATTATAGTCTATATGTACTTAGATCTTATCTTACTTGTTGTGCGACTCGGAGGATATCGTATAGATTATCTGACGATCCAACATATCTTCAGCTCACAGTGATGAAATGCGGAATCATCAATATGTGTATGGTCATTGATAATTTACACAAAAAACAAGGCCATTGCTACAAGAGTACATTCAACAAGTGAATATCATCATCTTTGATGAAATCGATCAACTTGTGATAGGTATAACAATTGTATAAATTGCGTCATAAAAGTATATCTAGTCTATAGATCATTCTGCAGTTCCCTAGAAAAGTATGTTTATAGATTGTTTACACGTTGAGATCATGAACCCATTAATGTTGGACCATCATTGAAAACCTAGAAGCACTGGACTGCTGTTTCGTCCTATTACAGGACTCTTCAACAGTGCGCATCCACTAAGAAGTACAAGACAAAAAAAACAAAGAAGAAGCTCATCGAATTTAACATAAACTTTAAATTTATTTATCTATTTTTCTCTTTAAATACAAAAATAAACATGAAACATCAATAATTAGACAAAGGAATACATATACATGATAGAGTTATTATCTTCTTTTTACATTTTAATAATTATAATCAATTTTTAGAAAATATCCATGCAACATTTAAACCTGATGGACCAAGTGAAACAGATCTATTCAAATAGAGATAAAAAACAAGAACAAGATTAAGACTGTGGATTTGGTTCACTCATGTACAAATTTAACGAGGAATATTGATTCTTTTAATATTTAGGTACGGGATATTATGTGGTGTAGGCGAGATATCCGTCTATCAACCAAAGGATGGGTTTACTGCGCAGCAGTTTGTTTCGTTCTACTTTATGGCGGTGAAACATGGCCAGTAAGAGTAGAGGATATTTGTAGGTTACTAGTATTCGATCATAGGTGTCTTCGAAACATTGCTCGTATATCCTGGGACCACCGAGTAATTAATACAATTGTTAGGAAACGGGTACTAGGAAAGGATGGCAAATCAATTGATGAAGTAGTGAAACTTCATCAGTTGAGATGGCGCCGATAAGTATGTCTGTGTTCTGGAATCTGATGAATGGTGAATATGTGGTCGATGCAGCCACGACCAGGTCTGAAGCCAGCTTGAGTCTCTCGTGTTTGCAGTTCACGAGTCTTAGTTAGGCCTCTGATAATTATCGAAGCTAGTATTTTAGATATTATATTAGTTAAACTAATCCCTCCGTGGTTGTCACAGGATGATTTTGACCCTTTCTTATATATTGGGACGATAAGTGATTGTGACCAGTTAGACGGGATAACGTATAACTCCCAGATCCTAGCTAAAATATTAGTCAACTTAATCGCTAAAATTGGACCACCATCCTTAAAGACCTCTGGAGCCAGTCCATCTGGACCAGCTGCCCTTCCTCGCTTCAGATTAACTATAGTCTTTTGAACTTCAGCAAGAGTTGGAGGACCTACTTCAATGTTCCATTCACATTGTCTGGGAATGGAGGGTAGTTGTAGAGTAGCTGAAGGCCGGTTGAACTGTTCTCTGAAATGTTCCGCCCATCGTTCCAAACGTCTGGACTGGGAGCAGATGAGAGTATCGTCCTTTTCCGATATAATCTCACACTTGACTTATTAATTCCAGTTTCTTTTATTAGTCTGTAAAGCTGTCTTGTGTTCCCTATAGTCGCCGCCTTTTCCATCTCTTTTGCCTTCATTGCCCACCACTGCTCACGGTCGTCCCTTAGACTTTTGCTTAACCTAGATCTGATTTGTTTTCGCTCTTCATCATGTTCAGAACCTGATGGGACGAGTTTGCGAGAATCCATCAGTGTGATAGACTTTGAAGAAATCAACTGGTTCTTTGTAACTCTGTGGTTTAAGTCGCCAATAGATGTCACTGCTGTTTTCACAGCTGCTTGTATGTCTTTCCAAGCAACATCTGGGTCAGCCTCGTCTTCACAACTAACTAAGTGTGACCTTAGTTGTTCTTGGAACCTATTTTTGCTTTTCTCGTTACTCAATTCAGTTCTAATGGGTCTTTTTAGTGTGGCTTTTTTGCGTCCAGTGAGGCGCAAGCAGATGCGTGCCCGTATTAGGGCGTGGTCGGAGTCCAAGCAGGTACTCCAGAATGAGCGACAATCTTGTACCGACCCTGTCCAACGATGACTGATGGCAATATAGTCTATTTAAGTCCATCGTTGATTTGGTGTAGGGGGTCGCCATGTTAGACGATGTCTCTCCTTATGCTTAAAATTTGTGTTTGCTAAAAATAAACGATTGTCTGAGCACAGTTGCAGCAGACGATCACCATTATCTGTTCGTTGTGCCGGAATGCTAAAATAACCACCTAAATGCCTTTCTGTTTGGTTTAAACTACCTATCTGGGCATTAAAGTCACCTGCTACGAGTAGTATGTCTGAACGTTTAGCTTTCTGAAGAAGTTGAGAAAGCCTTCTGTAAAATTTATCTTTCACATCATCTGAGCTGCAGTCAGTGGGAGCGTAGGCAGAAACGACGGAAAGGCAACAACGTGTATCCCTATCCTTCCGAGTTCTTACGGAGCCGTTTAACCGAACAGCACATAGACGACTGTTGACGGGGATCCACTCTAGCAGTGCTTGTTCCGCCCTCATGCTTAGTGCTATGCCTACACCTGCCAGTCCACGGGTCACCAGATACACGGAGGGTGTATCTCGTTGGCTCTCCGTCTTGCCGAGGTGAGGCCAAGTGAATGACCACACTAGAATCCTGTATGCGTGTTTCGGAGACACAGCACATGTCAATGGTAAGAGACTCTAGGGTTTTAGCCAAGGAAGCCTGCTGACCGATTTGACATAGGGTTCGTACGTTGAAGGCTCCAATGTGTAGTTTGGAGCGAGGTTTCAGTAGACCTGGGACAGAGTTTTGAGCACTAGAATCGTTGGCTATGGTGACACTTGAGGAGGAAGCCGAAAGAGGAAGTTTAGAGTTGAAAGTCGATGTAGGAGGAATGATAGGAATTGAAGAGGAAGGTTGATTATGAATACAGTGGTCTTGGGTGCTGTTAGAGGTATGAGGGCGGTTATCACTTCCTGGTTGCCCACACCGAGGAAGGGTTCTTCTGGAGGTACCTGAAAAGGAAATTGGATTGGAGGCGGTCTCAGTGATCTGAGAGAGTGACCGCAGTGCCCAGGGGACAACTACTTGAGGTCGGTCGCGCACGGCCTTTTTGTGGGAGGTTTTTGACGTGTTAGCTCCGTTCTTCAAAGGGCCTTACCGCCGGAGACGGAAATCCGTGAGGTAAGGTGAGGTGTGACATTTTTAGGATCGACCTTTTCTAACCTCACCCTTCCTTGTGGGAAGGCAGCATCGCACTCATGCTGGTTGTTTGAAGGAAACACCTTACTGCTTTCACACCTCTGTACAGTCAGCAGTACGACTTCGCCTTCGGACCTTAGGTTTGTTGCCTTTAGTCAGTTGCTTCATCAGGATAGGTAAGCCCGACCACCACCACGTCAAGGTAGCAACAACGATCGGGATACCCCTTTTGTATCATGTAATCTATTCAATATACTTAATTGAATCGATTAAACATGTATTTTTATAACCAAATTACCAATATAATTTGTATTATAATAGAACAGATTTACCTGAACTTTCCATTCCTTGTTACATAATAATGAAAGAATAATAAAATAGCATGGTAGATATTTTTTTGACCCTATAAATAAAATAAGATTATGAATTAAATATAAAAAAAAGATGTTAAATTACTGATATAAAATTGTAGATTCTTCCATTTAATACTAATTTAAATTGAGGTGGTTGTACAGCAACTTGATAAAATTGACAATTATGTTTACTTTTCAAATCTATAAGTAGATGAAAAGAGAAAGAGAGAGAGAGAGAGAGAGAAAAGAAACACACAAACATTAAGGTAAACAAATAGGTTATGAAAGAATCATTCTATACTTAGATTAGTAGTCAGTCAGTCAGCTACAACGTAGGACCAGGCACATATATATGCATCGGTCTAAGTTGCCATACCTCATTAACACAATAAGATGAGGTAGATCAGTAAGATCTGTAATAATTACACTTAAACTTTACAATCCCTCCCACGCAAACGCCCTGATACGGTCGAGAAGGGAGAGAGTCAGCTCTCTTTCTTGAAATGCTCTCACATCGTCACGTACGTACAACCACTGATAGCGAAGTCCTGTCTAGTGCCTTCTTGCGGCATTACTGTTGTTTACTAAATTGATAGAACGAAAAGTGAATATCCGGCTCTTTAACTGGGTTAGTGGATATGGAGGATCCACCTATAGGAGTTGGAAACCGTCATTAAAAACCAAAAAGTGCACATGGGCTCCAGGATCCTGATGGAACGAATAGACCTATCGTTGCTCTACTACCTTATGGATTAGACGTGTAGGTCAAATGTTTGGGGAGTGGACCCCTGTGTAGCGGGCAGTATCCAAGCCCTGACACAAATCGAATGATTTATGTGGTGCATATCTATTTGACGCCTCCTTGTACTAACGTTTATGTGTTTAAACAAATACAATCCCTTACATATGTAGTTGTCACCTGAGAATGAAATGACTGTCATACGTTACTTTCGGAAAAGTTAGCTTTGAACTACAATTTAGTTGTGTGAGGGTTAATTTATTTATTTAACCGCTAATCCACAGTCCTAACTTACGATATATAGTAAATACCACGGTATAAGTTTGTTGACAGTTGCACCTGCAATGTCGATGACTTTTAACAAACTTCTCAAGTTGACGGTGTCAAACAATTCCCACTGTTTGGATATCATTGTCACTGAGGAATCGCTCACATCCATTGATGATACTGAATACGTAATATTAAAACCTAGCAACGTATTTTTAATGCATGAAGGAGTTGAAAAATGTTATAAATCCTGTAATTTCGAAAACAGACATCGGTGTCTTGTTAATGGTTGTCGTATGGTAGATTGTTTGTTGGCATTAAGACTGAGTAGAAAATTCAGGCAGTCAGTATGTAACAAGAATTACTTACTTAACCCTCGTGGAGGAGCATAGGTCACGCACCAGCATTCGCCATCCAACTCCGTTCTGGGCAATCCTTTCCAATTGCTATTCATTCTTTTTATATCTGTTTCCATTCCCCAATGTAGTGTGTTCTTCGGCCTTCCTCTTCTCTTCAGGATTCCAAGTCAGGGCTTGCCTCGTGATGCAATTTAGCGATTTCCGTTATGTATCTTCTATCCATTTCCAACGTCTTTTCCTAATTTCCTCTTCAGCTGGAAGCTGGATTGTTCTCTTCCACAGAAGGCTGTTGCTGATGATATACGGCTAACGGATATTCAATATCTTGCGCAGACAACTATTTATAAATATTTGTACCTTCTTGATGATGGTTGTAGTAGTTTTTTACGTTTCAGCTACGCACAGTAGAACTAGTTGTGTTGACGTTTATAATGAAGATTCAGACTTTGATATTGGTTGACAGTTGTTTTGAGTTCCATGTTTTTCAATTGTAAAAATGTGGCCCTTGTTTTGCCAATCCTCACATTTACGTCTGCTTCCAATCCTCCTACTTTATCGACGATAACTGTATCGAACTAATTTCCATGAGTTTATCAAGATCTTCTGAATAATGTCTTAAAGATCATGCAATTCTACTGTTATGTTTACAAACAGCATGTACTAAATGTCTTTCTATGTGTTCCTACTGATACTTATCTCTACTACTATCACTACTATTATCAATAGTATTAATTACAGTTTAGACACTGAAACAGAATATAAAAGAGTCCAACCGTTAAAATGCATGCACACGAGTCAACTAACCAGGCTTATCTGGAAGTCGAACAACATTCAATTGACTGAACACACGACCAGATAAACATTTGGGATGCGGTGGCATACGTGTATCCATATAAGTAGCAAACAAATGTAACAGAATCTGGAGAGAAAAACATAAATGTGTGTGTGTGTGTGTGGGGGGGTAATAAAAGTAATATAATACAAAAGAAACGAACGAATAGTAAGAATAGAACGTATTGCCAGTCAACAACAACGTACATACATCAGTTCAAGTTGACATACCACATTAACACAGAGATACAATTGTCGATTCAAATCCCATAGTGGTAGAGGTAGTAAAACTATTCACAATTGATTGATCACCGGGTGGTGATTAATGTCATGTGTGTCAGAGCCTTCTTTCTGCACATCGAATCCTATCGACCAAGTTGCAATGTGACCATTAGTATAGATGATTCGACATTGCGTGCACTATGTTGAGATAAGATGGTGGTTGGAAGTAGTCAACAGGAAACCCTAGGCCCGAGTTTTGTGCTATTTGGCACTCGTCAGCAACGTGTACCTGTAATCTTGAGGGAAGTGCGTATCGAGATGTAGGAGAAGATTTAGAATTTAGGATGAAGATGTTGTGGTCCTTGAAATGAACCTCATAGTTGTGAAGCTTTCATTGTTCATGTGAACAACAAAAACTAATCAAAACAGAACAATCCGTTAGCTGATTGTGAAGAATTCCTAATGGCTTACTTCTCTTTGAATGATTTTATTCAGAAGAACAACAAAAGCTCAAGAACTATGCTATCTAGCTTAGAGACTGCAACATTAACAATGAAATAATGATGAAATTCAAGATCTGTGCTATCACCATCAACTAACCTAAAGTTTTCTATAACAGTTTAAAGATCCCCATACAATATATTCAAAAACGAAGGATGTTTAAGCGAACAATTGCTTTCAATAACTTCATCATCAGGCTCTACGGTTCTATAGTCCATAATTATAATATTTTACAAAGGCTAAAAATAAGGCATGTATTGATGAATTTGACAATGTTGGACTCTTTCAATAACATCCACTCAGTCAGTAAATTCACCAGAGAGGAGGAGGAGAAAGACAATAGTATAGCTTTTCTGGATGTCCTACTTTCTAGAAGGATAGACAGTTCCATAAAGCGAAATATATTTAGAAAGAGTACATGAACGGGTTAGTATACCCCATTTCCAAAGCTTTACACCTCTCCAATATAAAATAAATTTGATTGAATGTCTCAACCACAGAATCAAGTTATTATATTCTGAAGACAGCGTGGATGGCGAAATAGATTATACTAAAGAACAAATCCAGATAATTTCGTCAAAAAATAGAAATTGTGACACAAACAGTAAAAAGAAACACTATATCTGAGAATATACTTTAGAGAGGATATAGCGGGTGATATCTTAACACGTCGACTCAAAAGATCTGTCGAAAGGACGTTTCACGCCGCCAAGCTCCACAATATTTTCTCAACTAAACCACTATTCATACAACTAATCAAGGATAGGTTACCGAAGATGGGCTCCTCCATGTGTGTATATCAATTCAACTGCTCCAGTGGAGCTAGTTACATAGGCCGTATTCAGAGAGCTTTATCCTTGCGTGTTCGTGAACATGTACCAGCATGGTTGGGAAAATGAGTTACTAAATCGATTTACAGCACTATTCTTTCACACTTGGTAGATAGTGAACATCAAATAAAAATAGAGGAAGCTTTCTCTGTTTTATATCAAGTCCCAAAATATCTATCTCAAGGAGCTAGATTACGATTTGCCTACATAGCCGAAGCTATGTGGATCAACTCCAGAAAACTAAACTTATGCATCCACGATCCCGCGAGATCCGAACCCAGGACCTATCAGTCTCTCACCAGGCGCTTAACCAACTAGACCACTGAGCCGGTATCCAATGGTGTTAACGTCTAACTTCAACCAATCCACAAAGTTACGCTACCGTACACCATTGTCTTCAGTGAGTTGACATCTCACAACAGACCTGGTTGAACTCCACTGGCAACGGCTTCTCCCTAGAACTCCAGCATTTTATTCACACAATTTTTTTTACATTTTCAACTTTGCTATAATACTATCCTACTTATTGTGACCGGACACTTTACTCTAAATCATTCTGACCTTTATTGAATGACCTTTCTAATTTGCAAATAATATAATTTTGAAGTATATATATGTGTATATCGTAACAGATGCAAACGTTCACCATCTTCTATAATAGATCAAAATCATTGCACAAAGCAGATTATCTACATCAAAACTACTGATACAATGATTTCATGTCACATCTAATTTTCTCCCTTCTATGCTACCAAATATACTTGAATATCACAATAAGTAATCCCTAGATATCCACTTAGTGCACCCAACTGAGTCATAAGACAAGTCCTCACATGGAATCCTTAAGGCCAAAGGAAAAGAGGAAGACCAAAGAACACATTACGCCGGGAAAATGGAGATAGACATGAGAAAAATGAACAAGAATTGGATGGGACTAGAAAAGAACGCCCAGGACAGAGTGGGTTGGAGAATGCTGGTCGGCGGCCTATATGCTCCATTAGGAGTAACAAGCGTAAGTAAGTAAATAATCCACTTAGTCCAACCAAACCAACCCACTTAATCTTCATTAAATATCTTGACTATAGTTTAAGGATTTAATCACTTTATAGTTCTACAATTATTAATACAGAAAAGTAATAATTTATGGTAACTCACGGGCAATTGAATTTGTTCACATTTAATTCGGTTAATTCATTTTGTTAACTTAATAACGAACTGAGTTACCCGTACAACAACATATCTATATCATTGTATCTTTATTATTGTTGCAAATGTATGAACATGTATGCTTGAACGATTGCCTACTGCCTACGCATTTATTCACGCTGCTAGGCTTACTACTACTAACCGCTTAATTGATTCGATGATTCATTCATTTCACTATGTATATATATGTCCATGTTATTCATATTCATTGCTCTCACTCTCTCTCTCTCTCGCTTAATTGTACTCGCTTGCTCGTTCTCATATTCCCTGACTCACTTGCTTGCTTGCTTGCCTGCTTGTCTTTCGGCACAACTGTTTCATGCTTGTTTAACGCATCTGTAATTTTGGATATCTATGTGTGTGGTCCCATAATAAACATAATCAACACTTCGTATTCACCTTCTGATTAATATACCGTTGGGGTGTTATCTAGTGACGGTTATCAAGACGAACTGTATACAAAGTTTAAGGATTATATGGAATACCGACCACCACAAATTAATCCAATGGAAAAATATCATAACTTACAATACTATCAGATGGTAAATGTTCTTTCCATGGCCATTCAGTACTTTTTGATCCAGAATCCCAACGAAACTCTTGAAGACAGCTTTCTCTAGCTAATTCTAATATAAATGGTGATGATGATGATGATAATGATCATAACGGGAAAAACAAAAACAAAATTAAACATAAATCAACAAAGCGAAATTGTGGGGGGGGGGATGAGGGTAAAAATAGGTGAAGAGGATATAATAATACACAACATTAGTTACAATTTGATAATATCACTCATAGTCTATTGTATAGTAGTGTGGTCTTGAGTGCTGTTAGAGGTATGAGAGCGGTTATCACTTCCCGGTCACCCATATCGTGGAAGGGTTCTTCTGGAGGTACCTAAAAAGGAAATTGGATTAGAGGTGGTCTTAGTGACCTGAGAGCGTGACCGCAGTGCCCAGGGGACAACTACTTGAGGTCGGTCATATACGACCTTTTTATGGGTAATTTTTGTGTTAGCTCCGTACTTGTTGAGACATTACCGCCGGAGACGGCTATCCGTGGGATAAGGCGGGGTGTGCATTTCTAGGGTAGACCTTTTCTAACTTCACCCCTCCTTGTGGGAAGGCAGCATTGCTCTCATGCTGGTTGTCTGAAGGAAACACCTTAATATTGTCACATCTCTGTACATTCAGCAGTACGACTTCGCCTTCGGACCTTGGGTTTGTTACTTTTAGTCTAACCACTCTTCAACCAACCTGTCTGACATGGTAGGACCTTGAGGAACGGTTGTTCCAGCCAGTATAGCTTGGTTGCTTCATCAAGATAGGCAAGCCCGACCACCACCACGTCAAGGTAGCAACAACGGTCGGGTCAGTGAACGAGAATATCAGTAGGAACAGCCAAATGTATTTGAACACACAAATACAGAATCTCTTAGTAAAATCTGTGAACCATACAGTAAATATTTCAATCGTCTCAAACTTCACTGTTCCTTCATTTCCACAGGAATTATTAAATGTTCTTGTTCTCTTCTCTTCGATCTTCATAACCTTCTGCTGACAAGTATTTCACTTCCGATTGATGATACATAGTACTACTTAAATCTGTCGACATCGGTAGCACATATCCCCGTGGTATTAGCTGATACAGAAGTTTTTTCACAAATTAAACTAATCACTAATCAATAGATACTTTGGAAATTTCAATACTGAATTCGTTCATTTGAGCAACTAGTTGGAATGACTAACCCTCAAAACAATGAAATTAAAATCAAGGCAAGTGTTTTTAATGTGATTAACTAGTAATGAATTTCCTACAGGCAGATAAGGCGATGTTGTATATTAATCTTGAATATATATTTTATATTTATAAGGTGTAAATAGTTATTTTTAATAGTTTTGTACTATCATTCAAGGTGTTTGAAGGACGAGGAATCTTGCTTCCAAGATTTTTGCAGAAAATACAAGTAGTAACCAAGTGCACAACTCTATCATCTTCCCATTTATACACTAAGGTAATACCCCCCCACCCCTTCCAACAATATACAATACTATCTGTGTTTGTAAACCCGTTGAATATATTATATTTGGATGAAATCTAGTTCAGTTAAATAAAATAACGTTTCGTTCATTGTTTATTCATGACATTAGAGTATAATCCAAACACTCAGTCAGTCAACTACAACGTAGGACCAGGCACATATATACATCGATCCAAGGTGCTATACCTCATTAGCGCAACAAGATAGACACCAAATTCATAAAAGTAGGTACTTCAATCGTAGTGGTATATAAAAGAAGGATTGTTTATAAGGATATAGTACAGGAAGATATAAAGCGATTTTAATCTCACGGTTTGAAGGAAGACAAAAAGTATATACACCTACACTATTGTGATCGATTCTAAGCCATACCTCTAAGAGCACTAAAGATCACTGCGGTCATAATTTAAATAGTAGTGTGACATTATTAACGGAAAAACATTCCCTGAAAATTCAACCATAATCAAATAAAAAGGAACATTTAATAGTCATTATGTTGAAATTTCTGAACTGTGTACGTAAAGATGAATTTGAAGATCTGAAACTTGGATCCTAAAACTACTTAATAAATATTTAAGTATTCAGCATTGTATCATTATAAGTTCTTTATCTTTACAACTGTTGGGGAGTCAGTTAGATTTATCTGAATAGAATGCCCTGGTACGGCCGAGAGTGGGGAGAGTCAGCTCTCCCTCTCTCTCTCTCCCGAAATGCTCTCACATGGCCACGCGTATACAGCCACTTAAAGAGAAGTCCTACTCACTGCCTTCTAGCGGCATTAATGTCATTTACGAAATTGAAAGGACGAAAAGTGAATGTCCGGCTCTTTAACCAGGTTGGTGAAGACGGAGGATCAACCTATGGCAGTTGGAAAACCCTGATTTCAAACAATTGGTGCACATAGGCTCCAGAACCCTGAAGGGACAAATGGTGTAGGAACCTATTGTTAGTCACCGATTACCATAGGAATGCATCACTTGACGTTGCTCCACTGCCTTGTGGATCATACCTTTAGGTCAAAGGCTACGAGTATAGCCTCCTATGAAGACTACCTGCTTCGTTTTGGACACCCCGGCAGTATCACAGCCCACATGAAATCAAGTGACTTGTATGGCGCAAATGTATTCGGTTCCCCTTTGTACCAATATTGATGTGTTCAAATGACCAAATAGTAATAATTTGAATAGAAGTTTATGATTTTGTCGTGTTTCTGTGTTGTTGCTTCCAGTTTCCACATAACATATTACAATTGATCAGTAATAATTTACATAAAGACAACCAAAAAGTTACTCAAGACCCAGATTTAATATAAAACATATTATAAAGCCAATTTAAACTGTATAGACATATAAAACTTACCATGTAATCGATTAACCAAATATCCTTGATCTTTCATAAAATCTAAAAATGCCAACAATACTGGAAGTGTTGGTAAGTATTGATATTTAAGAGAGGAGAATTGTTGAAGGGTAGCTAAACTAGTGGCTAAAATTGAAAAGAAAGAGAAAAGAGGAGAGTGAGAGAGAGGAGTGACAAGATGTAAATAAGATGGATACGCTGAAACTGTTAAGATTTTATTGTTTGAAAGAAAAAATGAAGTGTTTCCTAGAACTTTTGTGCAACAAGTTCGAACCTCATTCATCTATTGACAATGTTATATCTGGTTTTAATCTTTGGAAATCATTTAGTTACTTTATATTCTGTTAGTTCCTTGTAAAAATTGAATTGATTCTTCAGTGTCATAATTCCTTACACAGATCAATCTATACATTTTCATCGTCAATTACGATGATTTATCCTTAACAAATCATTGATATGTTGATTTGACAATTTCATCTGAACAGAAGACGATTGTGAATGTATTCAAACTTACAATATTCCTGCGGAATTGATTCATCTTTTTTGTCTACTAATAAACCATGAGAATAAGGTATGTCTTTTGGATTATTCGAATGCCCTGATACGGCCGAGAGTGAGGAGAGTCAGCTCTCCTTCTCGAAATGCTCTCACTGCCTTCTCGCAGCATTACTGTTGTTTATAAAATTGACAGGACGAAAAGAGAATGTCCGACGCATTAACCAGGTTGGTGGATATGGAGGATCCATTCTGGGGAAGTTGGAAAACTGTGATTCCAAACCAATGGTACACATAGGCTACAGGATCCTGAGGGAACGAATGGCGTATGAACCTATTGTTGGTCACTTGCTACCATGGGACTACATCTCCTGAGGTTGCTCCACTGCCTTGTGGATCAGACCTTTAGGTAGAAGGCTCCGGTTATGGCCCCCTAAGAAAACTACCTGCTTCGGTTTGGGCATCCAGGCAGTATCCCATCCCTCACACAAATCCAATGATTTATGTTGCACATATCTACTTGGTCCCTCCTTCTGCCAATGTTTGTGTTTAAATAAATAATAGTTTTCCACGTGCGCAGTAATTTCTGAAGGTTCTCCAACAAGTATTAAGCAGAACTAATCTCAACAAATTTATGGAGTATTGATGTGAACTAAAGGATAATAATAATAATATACAACGGAAGAGGTAGCGGACACTAATCTTGCAATCATTCATGAAAGCATACATTGAAGATATAAAAAACTGGATATAAAAACTTGCATCCAATAAGAGTTTTATCGCCACCAGCTTCTTCAAGATTTCGATTAATTGTGTCAATTTCATTGACAATACGTCGAATGATTGTACCATGAAGCCACTGAAATAATAAAAAAGGGATTTTATTAAATGAAGGAATGTTCTGTCTAATGAATTTTAAAAATGGGAAAATACATCACCTAAGTTATGCCTCTCATTTATTTAAATACATAAATATTAGTACAAGGAGGCACCAAATACAGATGAGCCACACAAGTCACTTGATTTGTGTGAGGGGTGGAATGCTGCCTGGATACCCAAACTGAAGTGGGTGGTTTTCTTAGGGGGCCACTTTCCGAAATTTTGACCTAAAGGTCTGATCCATAAGGTAGTGGAACAACATTAGAAGATGCAGTCCCATGGTAGTCAGTGACCAACAATAGGTCCATACGACTTTTCTTCCCTCAGGATCCTGTAACCCATGTGAACTATTAATTTAAAATCAGAGTTTTCCAACTTCCCTAGATGGATCCTCCGTCTCCACCAATCCGGTCACAGTACCAGACATTCGCTTTTCATCCTCTCAATTTCGTAAACAACACATCCGCCGCGAGAAAGCAGTGAGTAGGACTTCTGTGACAGTGGCTGCATGTGCGTGCATTTCGAGAGGGGAAGCTGACTTTCCCCACCCTCGGCCGTATATCCCTCTATATGCACACACAAACGTATGACCGTTATATTGACTGAATATTCAGCTATGTTAAGAGGTTATTATTCACAAAATAAATCTTTAGAATCTGAGTGATTACATACCTTTCGAAGATTTAGAGTCCAACGATCTAAATCGCTTTTACTAACTTGATTTTCAATCCAATACTGTAAACAGAGAAAAAAATGGTAGAGTAGTGAAATATTTTACATAACAAATCTAGAGTTCACTTTTTAAAAGATATTTCACGGAATAGTTTCAGCAAATAACATTTAAAAGGAATGACAGGAGTATAGTATATTACAATAATAATGTGATAGTGATTTAGTGTTTACAACACTACGCTACGAGCTCGTCTCGGCACAGATTAATTTTAAGCTACTTTTTCGTGGTAAATATAAAGATTATAGGTCTTAAAGATTGTTGTTAATAACATAACACAAATAATACAACTCATTTAATAAGCATAGGTTTTATGTAATTGGCACGGAGTTGTACATTATCGATAGGGAGACTGGTGATGCTCTCTGTTCCATTAAGTTGAAGGCTGAGTGAAGTTCGAACCTGCGAACTGTTCGATGAAAGTCGATTATTCCGGATGCTTAGCTCCACCTTCCTTACAATAATCTCAACATATTACTTCCTCACGTATTCATTCAACAGAAATGCTTACCTCATCTTCAGATCGTTCGTTAATTTCACGATCACTTTTCCCAGAATCGGGAGTTATACTGTTTGGAATAAAGGCTGGTCCAGATAAAGATTTTTGTGAATCATTCAAGTATTGCTGGCAAGGATTAGTAGGTTGAATATAAGCAGCCTGATATTGGTATCGTGGGGATGTCCCTGATGTTAAAAATGGAGAAGACCAAGTGACAGAACGACGCATGTTCCCTGAACTCTGTCCAGGAGCCTCTCCGCTACTAAAAGGTGGCAGCACCGAGCCAAGTCCAGAATTCACAATTGGACTGAGGGCCAAATCCAAAAGAGAAACTGATAACCAAAGGAAATTTTAAAAAAGTACTTTGAAGTTATTAAATTGGATAAAATAGGCGGTAAAACTACACAATAGCGTGTTGATATTATCACATTGAGAGATAGCTTTGATGTAGGTATTTGTTTATTATACGATTGCATGAGTCTTCAAATGAAATTATGAAAAGTGTAATCGACGAAAGCCAATTGAGCATCTTGCGATGGCGGAAAAAAGGGACAATAATAATGGAAGCGAAAACTGGAGATATAAAAAGGAGTAAAGATTTTCCTTTTTTAGCTTGTATATTAAATATTCGACGCGAGCTAATAGGATAAACTAATATAACGGATAGTGAATGCAAATAAAGGAGGATAGTCACCTTGGACCCAATCTTTCTGGTCACTACTTTACCGCTGTTACGATGCACGTGATATTAACTAATTCTTATTCCCTAAACCCATTGAGGTCACGTAGAGATGTAGTTATGTTATAAACAATTAATCTCTCAAATATATTACTTTTCAAAATACCCAGTGATTCACAATAATTGTTGAAATAATAACTTTCTTTAGGATCCATGGAAGTATATATAATGAGTTTCACAGAAAGCTGCCACTGGTAGTTTGGTACTAAAGACCAGTAACTTTACATTATCACTGTGGTAAATCGAAATACAAAAATCCCAGTGTGATAAGCGTTAAACTGTAAATGAGCAAAATGACGGTGCTTCTAATACTAAAAAATTCTGGTCTTTCATTGTATTGTAACACTAGGATATGTTAATGACAGCTTAGTTAGATACAGAAAGAGGTGCACGCTAATCCAGTGTGTAAATACAATTTTCATCCTCAAAACAAACAGCTAAATGGTAGATAATAGATGCACTAAAAATAAACACTTACGATTTTCTTGAACACCCGGACTTCCCGAAACCCGGAAAGATCCACAGTGTGGCTGTGATAAATTACTATGGGACTGATTATGCTGTGGTGACACCGTACCAATTGTTGATTGTTTCCAAATAGGTTGATTTTCATTTACAGACTGTGGAATACCAACATCTACATAGGGAACTGCAGATCTAACAGGAGATCCACTGGTGATTTCATATGATGAGTTTCCAAAGGTAGCTCCACAAGAACTGATGTCTAAGCTGTTCTTCAATAAACTGGAGCAGAACATAGAAGGACCAACGAGTGACTTGTTTAAAGGTGATGAGTGAAATCTTAAAGCTGACTGACCTTCGAGGATTAGTAGTAAAAGGAGACTTACTGTGAGAATTACCTGCGTCCATTCTTCGGATTAACGCTGAACTTATTATCACGAATACATGGTATGAAATGCAGGCAATGAGGAGAGTAAAAGATGATAATACTACAGATTAATAAAATATGAACAAAAACATACTTAACTTTTCATAAGAAGACATCCATCCCAAAGGGAACGAGAACAGACGGAAAATTGGTTGAACATAACTAGTGAGAGTTATATACCAACACAGTCAACTTACAATTCTATAAGTACACACATTCCCACCAGCACATCAACTGAAAGCCATTTGTAAGCGTTGTTTAGTGACCTGATCTGAGCCTCAGCTTTGCATCGACGCTCGACCTTTGGACTAGCCCACACTTGAGTAGACATACGTATTTTAGCGATATCCTGGAAAAAGATTTGAGACCCAGAAAATTCCCAGCCTTCAGAGGACAGCCTAGAATATTTAGATAATACAAAAAATATGTAATAAATATTATGAAAGACAATAAGTAGGGGAGAGACGAAGAAAAAAAACACTACAGATAGTGAGTTTAAGACGACTCATCAATATCTCAATTGATTTTTCACCATAGCATTTTTCTGTTTGGTGTGTCAAAAGTATACACGTTGCACGTGTGACTTTAGAAAGAAATTACGAGACTAAGGATATTTCGGTTTCATTTTGATTTTTACGTATTTTACAGATTTTAACAGGGAAACCAGATTAAAGAGACGTTACGTATAGTGCTGTCCAGTAGAAATTTGGGCTACTTTGAAACACACTCTCAAGCAACCGCAGGTATTTTGTTTCACAAACCAAAGCATCCTAATAGGCATTTTAATTGTGAACATCAAGATGCCAATGAACTACTTGGCTAGACATATATATGCCTACATTGAAACATTTCAAATAACATACTAACAAAAATGGATGAGCTTAAATATCGGTTTTACTTATCACTAGTGACAGGACAATTGCCTTGAGTTACTTTAACACTGAGCTGAAACTCAAACAGATTAAGTACACTCTTGACAAATGACTCGACTAGAACTGTCCAAATATTCCGAGAACTTCTGTGGATACGAACACCCCAGTTCGAGTCACGATCCACACCTTTTTTCAATCTGCCCAGACTACCAAATTGCCTTGAGAGACAACGAATAAGTACATTTGACCCTCAACCGAATAAACCAAAAAGATTTGGCGGTGTAAATTTAACTTTATTCTTGCTGCCATTGTATTAGAGATATAAAAGTAAGCTCGAATCCACGGACCACTTCCATAAGCAACTTTTACAAAAAAACAAGGATCCTGCAATAAAGACTGTTCAAAGACGAGCCACTAAATTTGGGTTCGATACTTTAAGAATCGGTGTTATATCAATAAGGCTATTGATAACAGAAAGCGAACAGACATTTAAGGAGTTAGATATACTCTGCTTTTCGAAAAACTGGCTTGATCCTCTGAGGTGGACAGGTAGGTATTTGCGGACGAAATTGAGCATATAATTCCATTCAGCTTAGCATGTAGGAGCAAACAAATGCCAAAAATAGATAGTTCTATAAGTCCTTGACAGTGAGGTTGATCTTATTAATTTACTGAACACCTAGTTGAAGGCGCTCGGTCACGCATCCGCGCCAGATCACCAGTGTGTATGCCTTGCTAGGCATGCCTTTCAACTTCTAGCCTCCATATGTCGATAGCCTTCCAAATACATCTTTGAATCATTTCATTTCTGATTTGGTTGGTTTGACATGCTTCGATTATAAAGGTGTTACGTGTAGAGGTGTTTTCATAATCCGAAAACTCGTGCAATCTTTAGTGGTGGGACCGATGTTATCTGGTACACCAAGCAGTAAGCTTTGAGTTTGTTTCTTGATGGCATGTTACATACACTTTTTATAGTTGTGATATTTTTTCTATATTTTCGAATTTTCTCCTCACCCATTAGTTTATTTTATCTTCGTCATGACGGATATAGACATCTACTTACTTACTTACGCCTGTTACTCCCAATGGAGCATAGGCCGCAGACCAGCATTCTCCAACCCACTCTGTCCTGGGCTTCGTTTCTAGTCCCATCCAATTCTTGTTCATTTTTCTCATGTCTATCTCCATTTCCCGGCGTAATGTGTTCTCTGGTCTTCCTCTTTTCCTTTGGCCTTGAGGATTCCATGTTAGGGTTTGTCTTGTGACGCATTTGCATCAGATCCACCGTGTTCATCAATGATGCTGCCCAAATACGTAAAGGTTTCAACATCTTCCAAATCTTCTCCGTCAATTGTGATTGGATTGGTGCATTCTGTGTTGTATCGGAGAATCCTGCTTTTCCCTTTGTGACTATTGAGACCTACTGCTGCTGAGGCTGCTGCTACACTGTTCCTCTTCTCCTGAATTTGATGTTACGTTTGGGATAGAAGCGCCAGATCATCTGCGAAATCTAGATCGTCCAACTGCATCCTAGATATCCATTGTATCCCGCGTTTCCCTTCAGATGTTGACGTCTTTATGGTCCAGTCGATCACCAGGAGAAAACGAAAGGGTGAGAAAAAGCAATCTAGCCTAACACCGGTCTTTACTTCGAACGACTTTGTCAACTGTCCTCCATGCACGATTTTGCACTGTAATCCATCATATGAGTTCTGTATGATATTGACTATCTTCTGAGGCACGCCGTAGTGTCGAAGAAGTTTCCATAGTGTTGTTCTGTCCACGCTATCAAATGCCTTTTCGTAGTCAATGAAGTTGATGTAGAATGATGAATTCCATCCAGTTGATTGTTCCACAATGATCCGTAGAGTTGCGATTTGGTCTGTACACGATCTATCCTTACGGAATCCTCTCTGTTGGTCACGAAGTTGGGCGTCTACGCAGTCCTTCATCTTGTTTAACAATACCCTATTGAAGACCTTTCCCGGTATTGAGAGAAGATTGATGCCCCTGTAGTTATCACACTTGCTGAGATCGCCTTTCTTCGGTATTTTGATCAGAAGTCCTTCTTTCCGGTCTGTTGGTACTTGTTCTTCATCCCAAATGTTACTGAAGAGAATGTGGAGTATCCTTGCAGTTGCCGCTACGTCTGCTTTTAGTGCCTCTGCTGGAATGTTGTCCGGTCCTGCTGCTTTGCCACTCTTGATTTGTCTGATGGTCATGCTGATTTCTTCAATTGTTGGTGGCCAACATTGATTGGGAGGTCTGTGGGTGCTGCTTCGATGTTGGGTGGGTTCAGTGGAGCTGGTCGATTCAACAGTTCTTTGAAGTGTTCTAACCACCTGTTTTGTTGCTCTTCAATGTTGGTGATTACCTTGCCTTCTTTGCTTTTCACTGGTCGTTTTGGTTTGCGGCGATTTCCAGAGAGTTTCTTTGTCGTGTCATACAATTGTCTCATGTTTCCTTCTCTTTCAGCCTTTTCCGCTGTCGTTGCTAAATCTTCCACATATTTAGGTTTGTCGGTTCTGATGCTCCTCTTCACTTGTTTGTTTACTTCTGTGTATTCAGCTTGTGCCTTGGCTTTTTCTGCTCTCGTTCGGCTGGTATTGATTGTTGCCTTCCTGTTCCTTCTTTCTTGAATCTTACCCAGAGTATCAACAGTGATCCATTCCTTGTGATGGTGCTTCTTGTGACCCAGGTTCTCATGACATGTTGAAGTGATTGCCTCTTTGATCCCCTTCCAGTTGCTCTCCACCGTAGTTCCTTCTCCATTGAGCAGATCATGAAAGGCCTGGAACTTGTTGCTGAGGCCTATCTTGGATTTGTTGAGTTTGTTAGTATCCTGAAGAAAGGCCATATTGAACTTTTATGATATTGTCCGCCCCGTTCTCCAATGCTTCTTGAGCTTCAATTCCATCTTGGCGACCAGTAAGTGATGATCTGATGCTATATCAGCTCTCTTGGTTCTCACGTCCTCTATAGTCCTCCCGAACGTTTTGTTGATGCAAATATGGTCGATTTGGTTTTGTGTAGAGTGATTCGGTGAAGTCCATATGGTTTTGTGTATGCGTTTATGTGGGAATATGGTGCCGCCTATGACCAGTTTATTGAAAGCACATAGGTTTTCAAATCCCTCACCATTTTCGTTTCTTTCTCCCAGTCCGTGTCGTCCTATGAAGTCTTCATATCCAGTGTTATCTGTCCCAACATTGGCATTGAAATCTCCCATCAGAATGGTCAGGTCTTTGTTGGGCACTTCTCGACGATTGACTACAGCCTATTGTAGAATTGATCTTTAGCGTTTTCATTGTAATCGTTAGTAGGCGCATAGCATTGGATGATGTTCATTGAAATGCCCTCTTTCTTGGTTTTGAAGGAGGCTTTGATGATCCTTGGTCCATGAGATTCTAATCCTATAAGTGCATTTTGTGCTTGTTTGTACAGCATCAATGCCACACCTTGTGTATGTGAAGTATTTTGTCCTTCATGGCCAGAGTATAACAGGAGCTCTCCTGTAGTTAGTCGTTGTTGTCCAACTTGCGTTCAATGTGTTTCACTGATCCCAAGCACCTCTAGGTTGTATCTCCTCATTTCTGTGGCAATTTGTAAGGCTCTCCCGATGTCCCACATTGTACGAACATTCCATGTACCTAAATAAATGGTTGCTCTGGTTGTCAGAAGGGGCATCGGCCTCGTAACTTCCGAAGGAATTCGGCTTTCATCATGAGGCGTCATAATTCTTCCAAATGAAAACCTTCTGAATCCCAGGGCAGAGTTTAAAAGGTTTGAATAATTTTTTCTGGTCAGCGTTTTCATAGCGAGTTAGTTTTCTACAGGATGGGGACGCTAACCTCATGCCTAACCCTCCTCCTTTATCCGGGCTTGGGACCGGCAGTAGCCCCCGGAGGGACTCCAGGCGGAGTTATATAGACATCTAAGCTATTTAAAATTAGGACTCTCTCGCCTTCCACATTTCATCTCATGCCAGTCTGGCCGGACAGGTTCTGCTATGCAGAAGCTGACTTGAATGAGCACGGTGTGATTGATCAGCTTTCAAAACTCGTCGCAGTAGTGAAGACGCTACCGTGCAATTTTAACAGGTGTGTCATAGAGAGTATATTTACTGGTGGTGTTTCAGAGCCTTACGACGCACTGAAGAAGACTGTTCTTGAACATGGGGATTTGACCGACCGACAGAGGTCATGCCAACTTTTCAACAACATCGACTTGCATTATGGCTCAGCAACAGAAATGTTCCTACGTATACTAGAGGTCATTGGTTAACGGACCTTGATGGGGCTTCTCAGACAAAGAGAGGCTTCGAAAAACACAGTGATCATACGAACCTCCGTTATTTTCTGACTCGTTATGTCATTATTTATCGTAATCATAGACCCTCCCTAACTCCTCGAAAGAGTCCTTCACGAAAAAGATCTGTCCCTGAATGACGAGAGGTAGACTATCCTGTTTGGTGCTGATGTCATGACAAGTATGTTAAGTCTCCTAGAAATTGAGGAAAGCCCTACTATTATTATTATACTGTTCTCTAATCTCCGAAGTATCTTACACGGAAAATTCTTCAGGAAACTTTCCGCTGTCTCGCGTTAGCGGCAGCCGTTGCCAGTAAATTTAGCTGCAGTTGTACATCACTGATATGATGAGAAAAGTTCCCTATCTCTTCGACACTAAGGCAGCACTTAGTGCCCTCCCTGCGGGTCCTAACAACCGACTTCACGAACTGGTCTTCAACTTATAGGTGGCAAATGAGAAATAAATTACCACATTTGGCAAGCGATATATTTATATTAATGTGAGCTTATGCGAAATCATTCGCCGGATTTTTGTTGTTGTAGATGATTGTATGCCAATGATTGGTATAGACATGCTCTGACACCACGATCTACTTATCGACAAGCATAAACAGAGGTTAGTGGACAAAATTACTGAATTATCTGTCTGCGTATCTCCCTTTTCCGGTTGTGGATTATTCTCAGTCACAGAAAGGCTAATATTAAAACTATTTTATCGATTTTATCGGCTCGACGTCTTCAATACGTTGAACAGAGTTTATCATTCAGGTGTTCGAGCAACCGTCCGGTTCATAGAAGAACGATTTTGTTGGTCTTATATGAATAAACATATGAAGTAGTGAGCATGTTGCTGTGTAAGCTCCCATAAATCTAGGATGATTGGACACGAGAAATGTTCTTTCAGCCATCTCCAAACTGGACGCCTGTTCTGACCATGTTCACATTGATTTGATAGAACCTTTGCCGCCTCAAATGAGTACTTTTGCCTCATATCGTGTTTAGACCGTGTCACTTGATGACCAGAAACACTGTTCATCGAGGACATTACCGACGAAACAGTGGCACTTGCCTTCGTTGAACGATCGGTAACAAAACTCCGTTGCGCTTCAAATATCACTACAGTCAGTGGACTTCAGTTCAAATATGAATATTTTCGTTGTCTTATTACACTACCAGTCGGCAAACTCCGGATACATATATCATCTTTAAGCCGAGAACGGCTTCAAACACACAAATGTTCTCCCTATTTGAGTGGCTAGTTTGGCTAGCAACTTTTTAACCCATATATATTGATCAGTCTTAGACGACTGGCCAACACACCATCTGAGACCTTTTCACAATTACACAGTCCTGAATAACGAAGGATTCGCTGATTCATAGAGTACAGGCCGATACACTAGTGCATTGTTTTGAAATGAAGACATGAAGCCCTTAACGTGTTATAAAAAATTGGAAAGGGATATTTATTGTGACCAGTATTCATTAAAAACTCATTAGCCGCTGCGTCACTCATACTTTATGAATTTTCTTTCTCTGAATCACTTCCTATTTTAATTAATATCTGACGTATTCCCTCGTTTGCGAGTAAAGGTTTTAGAAATTCAATAACGCTGCCTTGATGTCTAGTGCACAGTGTAACTGCGAGAAAGTAGACACCAATTCGTTTTATATGTACTAGGTAAACCCAAGCAATATTTTGACAATCAAGAAGGGTTAGTAACAACTCAAGATGGGTGGTTAAGAGTTGATCGAAGACATCCTGATGATATCAAAAAATTACAGTTAAGCAATTATTTGCTCTTATTTTGAGTAGGCATTGCATTTCCTGTTATCCTATATTGAATGTTGAAAGTTTTGTGTGGTTGAAATAAGGACCTCGCGCCTCAAATGGTCTGTTTCACAACCCGAATAATGACATTCTGCAACTACCAGTCTGTCATCTCCTAAATATTATACTAAGGGTAACTGCCAGCAGTAAAGTTCTACCAAACTTCTACCTCTATACTCTTCCTACTTCATTTTAATCTTTGACTAACGACATAAAGTCTCTAAATCTGATGCCACTGATATTTTCTTGGGCGCCAAATGTTGCAATGTACATGAACTTCATTTTGTCAGATTATCCGAGGTCGAAAAACAGGATCTCTGATAAGGCTAAGGTTTTTAGAAGAATCACGTTTGAGAACATGCCTGAGATGATTTAATTGTAATCCATCTATATTTAATATCGAGTTTAACTCACTATCCACATCACACATATCACAGAGATGATCATCAATGCCTCCAATTATATCATCAACGTAGTCATAACTCAATATATTAGTTTACCTCCGTTATCAGAACCACGGATGCTGAAGTACAATCTAATTAACCATTGAATGAACTGAAACTCCCTCCGGTTGAACATAGACCTTGACTAAGAAACGCGACTAGGATCGTTGGTCAATTCGATCCCAGATAAAACAACCAATGTGTAGCTCGATAATAGAAATCATAGGCTAAATCTGAATGCGTTAGGGAAGTTCTGACAAACAGGGTGGCTGAATGATTTCTCATAATGTTAAATTCTAGTTAACCCTCCACTCTGGTTATTGAGATAAAATAAATGACTGAAGTGTATACAACGCTAAACTGCACAATGTAAAGAAGGAAATAATTGAGTAAATTTTAGCGTAGATTAACAACGATATCACTGGGTCGGCTTTTGTAATGGGAGGTTTCTAAGTTTTTTTTGGTTTGTAAGTTCACCTCAATATTGATGTGTTTTCATAACTCCAAATAAAAAAGTAGTTACATATTATGCTAAAACGTTACGTCGTTGACATTTCTATCAACATATACTTACTACTCAGTGAAAAAATTAACAATTTAGTGATTGTTAAAATATTAGTAAAGTTTTGAGATATTTTTCAGTGAAAAACTGAAATAAGTTATCGAACGGCTGGTAGGTAGAAAGTTTTGAAATGAAAGCTTTATCCCAGAATTATACTCTGATAACGTCCAAACCTATAGACACGTATGATATTCAGTGTGGCGAATTCATTTCTCCGCGCTATGATAGGATGTTTAAGCCACTAAGTCATCATCAAACAGTCTACAGTTTCATCTTCAAACAGTTTGCAGATAGCTACTGTTATGATATGAATTCTCATGCTGTTTTTAAATCTTTAATCAATCACGCTCATTTAGTGTAAGTTAGCACATTCACGCACATAGGACAGGTGAAAAGTTATTGAGCTTCGAACAAACCACCCATCAGGTTGAACTTTTTTACTTTAGACAACAGGTTGCTGACCCGCAGACAGTCTATAAAACATTGCCAAGGTCAAGCATGACTGGTTGGTGTGATGTACATTTATCAAGTCCTACAAATAGATTTTTATTTATAACACGTTTATTTTATGAAGTCGCCAACGTAGGGCATCACATAAAAGTAGTTCATGTCAGGTGTCAACCGCTAGACGTAATTCGGACTTGAGCTAGGAAGTCCCACTCTAGTAATCGAGAACACAAATGGAGACAACCAAATGTTATTGAATATCGAAATACAGAATTTCATGTTGAAATCTGAGAACCATACAATAAATATTTCATTTGCGAAATGTATACCAATTGTCCCAGACTTTAGTGTTTCTTCCTTTCCACACCAAGCACTCTCTGTTACCGTTCTCTTCTATTAGATCTTCCTAACCTAATGCTAGGGTTTTCACTTTCTGTTAGTGTTACATACTACTGATATCGATCTGCATAAATAATCTGCACCACAATATTATTTCCGTCCAACACAAGTAGATCATGGTCATTCACACAGATCACCTACATTATTGATCTAGCTAATCCTAAAGAGTTACGAGCTAAAATGGAACTAACATCAAATTGTCTTTGATTTATTAGTTGTTCCAAGTTTACATCAGTTCAAGACAAAATATACTTTTCTTATTTCCAGGTTTTCGGAATATACCCTTTCTTTTATTTGTTTACAGTATTATGTAGCTAAGGTGTCGAGACAACTTGTATTATACAATACAATATTAATGGTTTACAATAATAAATTGAATTACAAATAATTGAAATTAGAAAATTCACTGAGTTGACCAAATCAAGTATGAATATTTGGACTTGATTTTATTACATCTTCAAAAAGTTTCAGAGTATCTATTGCAGTACCCCAACTTAATGCAACACCCATTGAACCATGTCCATAATTATGTATAATTGGTAAAGGTTCACAGGTAATTTCAGGTTGATACCATTCAATCTTATAGTAATTATTTGATATTTAAAAAAGAAAGAAAAAAGAAATTATCTTTAAACAGCTGACTTGTTAAAGAAAATATTGCACTATTTGGTGAAATAGAGTGTTGTGTTTGTAAACATAGTGAAGTGTACCGGTTCATTGTATCACTTTAAGGGTGTTTTTAGACTCGTGGGGTCCAATCCTTGTCGGGTAGAAACAAGTATCAACCTCAGACAATGGATGAATGGTTGAGCGGCCATTCATGGATTGGTGGAAGTTCTACACTAACACTATTGAATTCCGGCTCAGTGGAGTAAAGGTTAGGACTGAGGGCCCTGGGCTGGAATCCTGCCAGCGGGATCGTGGATGAGCACTACTGAGGAGTTCTACAATATGGCTTAACGGCTGTTCGATGCTTTTAGGTTTTCATTGGTGGTCTAACATTAAACGATTCATGATCTCAATCAAAAAGATTATGAACATGTCTAACCAAGATATAATCATGTAAATAAAGTTGAGGTCATTCATGTAGGTTTTGTGTTCATTCCGTCATTTAAATGTAAATTGTATCCAGATGCTTCAAACATTTCCGTCATTGAAGGGTCAGCGAATATGACTTAAAACATTATAGAATGACTGTACTATATTAGCAAAGGATTATTCTTCAAAAATTTCTGTCTACTTTTTAATAACTTTTTGGTTTATTAACTTTTTCATATACTCTCTAACTGTACAGATCAATTTACTACTAACTTGTAAAAAGTTAGATACCAGTCGGAATGGATCATTCGTATATTTATCCAACAGTGTACACTTGAACATTTGACATAGGATGATATGATACACCGAACCGGATTATCAAATCGATTACTCAGTTATTTGTAAATCAATAAATTTCAGTAAAAGGACACTTGAAAACTTACTTCTAATCTTATAGATGGTCTGAATGGTCGTAATCCTGTCCATTCTTCAACTATTGGTGATTTGCCTAGTCCTCCATGCCAAGTGTTGTCAATTCTTTGAAGAATATCTTTTGTAGATTCAGGTGATACTCTTATATCATCATCTGTTGTAGGTCTTTTTAAAACTGGAGGTAAATGTTCACGAAATCCTCCAAGAATTACACTCTCTTTTCCTGTATAACAATATGTATCATCGCGCTAATAAAAAGAGAGAGTAATTTAAAAAACTGTTAACATATCATTAGTTAGAATGGGTCGCTGTAAATCTTTAGACATGATCTAGACATGAGATAGAGGGTTTAATTTGATTGGAATCTATTGAAACAAAGAAATTATTGTCATATAGGTAGAAAAAGGCACTGAATGCGTACATGCCACACTTTAACATTCGATTTATGTGAGGGTTTGGATACTACCTGGGCGCCCAAACCGAAGCGAGTGATTCACTTGAGGAGTTACACTCCGAGTCTTTAACCTACAGGTTTAATCCACAAGGTAGTGGAGCAACGTCAGGAGATTCAATCACACGGTAGCGGGTGACCAATAGTTGGTTGATTAGCCATGTTAGGTGTGATCGATTAACGAACTCACCAATGATAAAGTGAAACGCCCACCACCACATTAACTTTCCTTGACCTTGTATGACTATGTCTTGTTTATTCACCAATCACAATTTTATGTTCATTACAAAATAATATTTGCCTTGTTGACTCATTTTTCTCTATCCTCTAGTTGCTTTTCGGTATGTTATTTATGTCTCCGTTTTTCCCTGTGTTAATAGACTGTACTGTTTGTTTTGTACACTAACGGTGTTAATTGGTGTTTTAGAAACAGTTGAAGTTTATCGAGCCAAATAGCTTACTTGTTTTGACTTTGGCTAAACCAAGACTCTGTGCTCGACAGTCTAGAGAATAGCTTAGAGTTAAACCTGTAGGAAGTTGCTTCCTACAAGCCATTTGATCCTTCAGAATCCTCTAGCCCACGTGCTCTATTGGTTTGGAATGACGGTTTTCAAACTCCCCTAGGTGGATCCTACATATTCACTAACCCGGTTGAAGCACCGGACATTTGCTTTCCGTCCTCTCAATTTCGGGATTAACCACTTTCAAAGCACTTGATCATTATTTTGACAGCTCAAACATAGATCGTGACATATTTCAAGAAGTAAGTATAGTGGTTCAATTTTATTATTACACATAAAGTAATAATGCAAAAAAGTTATCGCCTTAGTCAAGCATCGAGACTATGGAACTCCATCAGAAAAACGTTTATTCAATCACATGATGAGAGGTTGACTGAACAAAAATTATCTCGAGAAGACAGTTATTTACAAAGAAAATTAATGAAACAAACTGATTAAGTGCTTACAATGTAATTTAATAGTTGAATTCATGAGTCAATTAAAGCTAGACCACTATGGAAAATCCGGAAGTACTAGGTATCTGTTGGGACTCCTCAGCTCAGAAAATCCAGGTTTCCGCTAGCGGGACTCAAACCCAGGACCTATCCGTTTCGCGCGCGAACGCTTAACCTCTAGACCACTGAGCCGGAATCCAACAGCCATCCAGTACTTTCAGGTTTTAATTAACTCATGAATTTAATTATAAAATTACTAAAATCTCCACAAAACCCACTTTTGATAATACTTGCAATGTAATTGTAACGCTTATTTTGATTGGATTAAGCACAATATCGAGACTGATCCCGCTAGAGGGATCGTCGATGCGCACCGCGGAGGATTCCCACAGTGAGACGAAACGGCCTTCCAGTGCTTCCAAGTTTTTCGTGGTGATCTAGCAATTGACTGATGATCTCAACTGTTGAAATTACCATAATATTCGCAACGTCCCGCCTGATATTAAAGCTTACCAATTAAACTGTCTTAGCTAAGAGATTATAACCCAACTCAACCCAAATCATCCACTTGAAATACAAGTACTCAGAATTTTATTCTCTTACACGTACAGCTTTATCGAATAGACTATTTAGAATAAATCATTTAAGGAAATTAATATAATTGTCGTCATCACACACACACACATACATCTAAACATATTCGATAATCTTATGTACAAATAGCTTATAAAACGTGAAAAAATGAGAAGTTAAAATAGTCACAGTAAATACAGTTCCGACAGTAAAAAGAAAATCGATTATTGTGTATTAATTATTTAGTTGTTCTTATATTCTGGTGTGTGCTACTGATGTTGAACGATAGAAGTAGTATATATCATCAATCGAAAGTAACAATGTCTGGTGATCTAGTTATATAATATACCTTTGTTGGTCAAGGTAATTTTACGTTGGTTTTCAGGTGAACCAGACACCATCCAGACTTTCACGAGGCAACCCAAACAGTACAGCTCAATCTCGCTTCACAGGAGAACTAGAGACTGTATAGGCTTTAAAAATACAATCTGAATAGTACAGCTCAATCCTGTGGCACAACCACACAGGTACCAAGCAACCTGGTGGACGATTTGCACCATGCATATACACATTCACATCACATGTATAGTTATTCAGATCAATGATCGCGTGAATCAATTATGCAAAGCACGAACAGGAAAAAGTTGACACATCCCGTTTTTACACGACAGTCAAACTCATTATTGTTAGCAATGGAGACATGGCTTACAATATCCCAATGATAATGGCCCATGAGAACACTGAAAAGTTACCACCAGTATGAATAAAATCGATTAACCAGCAAACCGATTTTGTGCGTGAACAGTTAGCAAAATTTGTCACAGCAATGCTGAACCATCCACAATACCGATGGCAAACCTCCAGACTCATATGAGACCTTCAGCTCTACATAAGCATAAACTTTTTGTAGTGATTCATTAATGAAACGTATTGATTTTGAAATTGGTTGACAGTTTGTGTCTGTGAGTGCGTGTGTGTGTTTGAATAGCATAATGTTTTTTCGATAGACATGGTGAACTACTTCACTTTCTATGATGAATAAGTAAAATATCTGAAATTCATTACTGAAAGTATCTAGATATTCTAATACCAACTTTGAGAAGCACAACTTTCAACTCTTGATTCACATAATGAATAATAGATAAATCTAGCTAACTGTTGTTGTAGTGAAATATGACTAATTAAGTAATATTGTTTAATCATATCTTACTCAATAGACTGCTGTGCCACCAATCTAACAAATGATACAACATTCACTATTTAATTGTATATAATGACAATGTCACCCGTTTGTAGTGAACCAGAACAGAATTGGGATGAATCAAGAATATTTGAATGCAAAATTACTGAATCTCTTAGTAAAATCCGAGAACCGTACAGTGAATACTTCATTTGCAAAATGTTAATCAATCGTCTCAGATTTCATTGTTCTTGTGTTTCCACACTTATCATTCTCTGTGCTCATTCTCTCTCTTTCGATCTTATTAACCTTCTGTCACCAGGCATTTCATCTTCGATTGATGGTACATACTACTTACATCTAGATAAGATGGTGGTTGAAGGTAGTCAACAGGAAACTTTGGACCTAGTTTCCATGCTATTTGATACTCGTCAGAAAGGTGTACCTGTAATCTTGAGGGAACTGATGCTCCCTGACGTATTTGGTTCCATGTCATCCAACTTCACAGTTAGAGACTTTACCACTGAGCTATCTAGGCAACGACTGACTTCCCATCAGGGAGCACCAGTTCCCTCAAGATTACAGGTACACCTTGCTGACGAGTGCCAAATAGCATGAAACCCAGGTCTAGAGTTTTCTGTTGACTGCATCCAACCACTATCTTATCTCAACATAATGCACGCAGTATCGAGTCACCTAGACTAGTAGTCACCTTGCAACTTGGTCGATAGGATTCGATTTGCACTAAAGAGGCTCTGATACACATGACATTGATCACCACCAAGTTATCGATCAAATGTCTGTTAAGATCAGTAGCACACATCACATGTTCATTACTGGTTTGTATTGATCAGCAATATATACATATATATCTACAGTCAAACTGTAGTCAAAATGGTTCAGTAATATCGTTCCTAAATATTGAAATTGTTTGATATTGGCAAGAATCTCTATAGACAGATTACCTTAAAATTACAAATATATTGTGCTAATAAGTGTCCAGCATTATGAATCGGAATATAAACCTTATTTATTATTTATAATTCATTTACAGTAAATAGTTAGTGTAATGCAAGTATTCACATACAATTAAACATACGAGTTGCAAATGACACCCATAAGATTCAATTGTTTAAAGTTATACAATTATTTACCCTGTAGTGTCAGTTATTATGTTAAGCCCATATAGGCTATTCTAACTTCTGGATAAGCTAATCTATTCACTCTTCTTGAGTCACATTTTGACTTTATCACTTGTTCGCTTGTTAACCATGACTGCTTTTTATATCTGTAGCTTATTTCTATCTGATTCAATAATGCTTGATTAAATAGAATTGACTCATACGCCTTCTCCATTAGACGTCCTTTAATTTCGCTTCACTCTGCCTTCTCCACTTCCTTTGCTGCGATTCTCTGATTGCCTGTTCCGATCAACGAGTGTACCATATATATTTCGACGGCAATCATTCATATCATATAAATGAAGTCAATTCCTGGATCACTTAAACCCCTGTTCTTGGCAAAACTGACAATTTATATATATGGGGAGGGTGGAGGTTCAGGAGATTGATTTAACATTTAGATAGTGTTCTCCAAAGACTAACCTAACTTGATCATGAGTGCGCACTGCTGAAGAGGCTCACAATAGGACGAAATGGCCGTCCAGTTTTTCTAGGTTTTCTATGATGATCTAGCTTCAATTAGTTCGTAATCTCAACTAGTGAAACAAACTTAAAATACAAATGATAACTGTGAAGCATTAAATAAAGATTATATACAAGTTTACGAGTTTATTGAAGTGTAGACTTATGAACATATCAAACATCCCCAGCTACAAATTTTGGGGAAAATTTCACCCATTTTGGGGAAGACACTATGATGAACTTTAGGGAAATTTTTTGGTTTTATTGCCATTTCCCCAAAATTTCCCTAGACCTGGGGAAATTCCCTGATATTTCTACAAAATTCCCCTTTAACCTTGGTCAAGGTCATTCGACTTTGGGGGATTTCCCCAAAATTTCCCAAAATTTCCCCAAACTTGGGAGTTTGGAATAGAACATAGAACACAAACAGTGTAATCTTTGATCTCATATTGTTAAAAAGAAAAAAACACACAGAAAGAAACACATTCACTTACCCCGAAATAGAATCCAAATTTCATCCATGGTGCTAGAACACGTACTAATTGACCTTTAACTGGTCTTATTTCTGGATCATGAAATAACCTGATCCTAATCCAGTACAATTAATAATTATATTGATTTTTTGTTCTTTAGCCCAATAATATAATTCATTTGAAGAAGTAAACGCTTGCTCTCTTTCACTATAAATAGATTGATCATTTGGAATTAAATTTTTAAGTTCATTCAATAAGTAATTCATATAATAACGTGGTTCTACAATACATGTTGTATAATAATAAGCTGATTTAATATGCTTAGCAAATCCAATAGACTGAATCTATTAAGTTAAAGCAGAAAACAAAAAACAATCTTGAGTATGGAGTTATAGAGATGATGCAGTTTTTGGATTGAGATCATGTTAGATCATCATTGAAAACCTAAATGGATGTTTTGTCCTATTGTAAGACTCCTCAACAGTGCATATCCATGATTCCGCTTACGAATCGTTGGATACTGGCTCAATGGTTAAGGATTCGTGTGTGAGATCAATAAGTCCTATATCCGAATCCCACGAGCACGATTATGAATGCTCACTATTGAAGAGTCCCACAATAGGACGAAACATCTATCCAATACTTTCAGGTTTTCAATGATGATCTAACACTCATCGATTCATGATCTTAATAAAAAAACACATCTTATTTACCTCTTCTTCATCTAAAAATACAGTTTTTCCACATAATTTACTTATAAATGGTCTATCAAATTCATTATATTCTGATAATTGATAAGTTGGATGAAAGTATACACCAGTATTCGATGAATTCCAACTAGTTGCTAATTTCCAATATTGTTCACGTCCAGCATTACACCAACGAATAAAATCATTGAATTGATCCTGATCATATTCTGATCCTGGTAATAATTTAGGATCTGGTCTAAATATACCAGCTGCACCATAACTAGTAACCATAACATTTTTCTTATCAGATTGTATAAGAATTTCTACATTGGAATAATTTTCTTTAATTAAGAATGCTGTTGATAGACCAATAATACCAGAACCAATGATACCAACTTTCATTGATAATATTTTTGTAATATTATTTGATGTTATTACCCGACTTAGTAACTAAATTGATCATGACCTTGACATTGGAAATCTGATTGGTTGCCTAAATGGAAAAAGAATAAATTAACTAATAAAATGTACTGATTAAATAATCAATAATACTGACTATAAATCAATATGGATAAAATGAGGAATATTGTCGTGGATTGGTTGAAGTTAGATATTAACACCGTTGGATGCTGGTCAGCTCAGTGGCCTGTGGTTAAGCGCTCGCGCGCGCGCGACTGATGGTTCCTGAGTTCGGATCTCGCGTGGCGGGATCGTGGATGCGCACTGCTGAGGAGTCCCATATTAGGACGAAACGACCTCCCAATGCTCTCAGGTTTTCCATGGTGGTCTGGCTTCAATTGACTCATAACTTCAACTATTGAAATTGTCAATAAGATTGATTGTGAAATCATAAAACAATAACACAAATAAAGTTCGATTGGACCATGGTAACTGAATTCAGTGTATCAGATAGTAACAATCTATCGATTATTAGTAGATATTATGATGTTAAGCAAATATGAATAATGGTTAGCAGTGGAATCCAGGATGTGAGTTTCGTCCCGTTTGAGACTCGTCAGTTGGATATACCTGCATCATAGATTTGATATTCACTCTGGGACTCGAACTCAGTACTGTTCACTTCCAATGCCATTGTGTTATCCCCTTAGCTACTGAGTCCTTATAGCCACCTCCTTGTGCAACAGGGTGAAGTTTAAATTCATTTGCTGTTGTTTTACTTGTATCTTCCCAGTGTTATTTAGGGCTGCAATTGATCAGTCACTTGTTAGCATATATGTATCCTATGCGGATTGCCTCGATATAGGCTTAAGTCACAAGCTTTTTTAAGCAAAGATAAATAGTGGTTAGCAGTGGAATCCAAGACACGAGTTTCGTCCTATTTGGGATTGTTCAGCTGGATACACCTGCATTTTAGAGTTGATGTTCGCTGAATGAAATAGATACACCATACTCTTAAACATATCAGATCATTCTCCTTGTGTTACGTTGCAGTTGTTCAGTCTATCAAGTTTTTGTAGATCCGGACATTGCGCTAGGAGGATATCGCAGTTATTATAATTAGGAATTACTGTAGGTTGATCACAATAATTTATTTTCAATTGATTAGTCACTGGATGGTGATCAATGTCATGTGTATTAGGCCTTTCTTAGTGCAGATTGAATTCTATCAATCAAGTTGCAATGAATCAACTAGTTTAGGTGATTCGATATTGCGTGCACTATGTTGAGATATGATGGTGATTGAAGGTAATCAACAAGAAACCCTGAACCTAGGTGTACCTGTAATTTTGATAAGGACTGATTCTCCTTGACGGATTCAATCCAATGTCATCCAGCTTCGCATTCAGGGACGTTACCATTAAGCTATCCGGTCCATGACTGACTTTCTGTAGGACTAACATAATGGTGGTTATCACCCAGTGATCAATCAATTGTAAATACACAGTGATTATCAGTCGCCTCAAGATTACAGGTACACCTAGGTTTGTGGTGCGTGCTACTTTTATATATATAAGTAGTATATATAAGTAGTATATAAGTAGTATATAACGCGAGTCAGGAATGTAATGTCTGGCAGCAGAAGATTGGGAAGATCAAGAAAGGAAGAACGGGAATAGAAAGCAATTAGTATAGAAATGCAAGAACAATGAAGTCCGAGACAGTTATTGAACATTCTGCAAATTGGGCATTATAGTATGGTTATTCTATTTTACCAAGTAACTCTGTAATGTTTTGATTAATATATTTCGGTTGTCCTCACCTGTGTTCTTGCTCACTACATTTGGTGTCGCTGCCTCGACTAAGGATGAAGATTCCATGGCCGAAGGAAACTGAGGACGGAGATGTGCTGAGCTTCCTGAATGAGTTAGAGGCCGTGGCGGAGTTGGTGGGAGTGAAGGAGCCGAAGGCGAAGGTGGTGGTGCTAGGAGCGCTGCTGATAGGCAGCTCAAAAGGCTGTATATAACAGCTTGGACGGTGCTGGCGGGAATACGACATGGGAGACAATCACGGATTGGTTGATGGCGGAGTTTGACAACCCAGTGGACGGGGAGTAGACACTGCAGAAGTTCCGGTTGGTGAGGTTGTCGGTCTATGGTGACCCACTGGTTCTGGCTGTGGAGCTTACCAGGTTGTTGCGCCGTGCGCTGCTGAATCTGGATGAACAGTCGGAGGCGAATTTATTGGCGTCGTAGTTTGTCGAGAGTGTGCCTGCCACCGTTTTCCAGCAGCTGAAACCAGTAAACGCAGCACAATCTATGGATATTAGTGAAATAACGAAGGTGACTCGACGGCTGATGACATGAACAGTAGCTCCAGTCGGATGAGGAAAGCAAGAGATAAATATTGTCGAGAAGAAGATTGAAGAGCTGAAGCGTGAGATTGCGGCAATAAGGGTGAATCATAAAAGAAATGATAAATGTTCAATAATTGTCTCGGACTTCACTGTTTTTACATTTCTATACTAATTGCTTTCTATTCCCGTTCCTTCTTTCTTGTTCTTCCTAATCTTCTGCTGTCATGACGTTACATTCCTGACTCGCGTTATATACTACTTATATCAATATAAGTAGCACGCACCACAGGTCTAGAGTTTCTTGTTGACTAACTTCAATCATCATCTATTCAAAATGAAACTTATCCATTATATAGAATATATATTTACCGAATGAACTGTTTATCAATGATTTCTATGTATCATTCATATTCTATTCATACATAAATTTTATCGGATAATTCATAACCATAAATATACAATTAATGAATTAGTTTATTTATCCATTGAATAAACAATGTTGTGGATCAAAGAAATTGACCTGAAACTCTGAATAATCTTATTTGTTGTTATGGTTAAGGTCAGTAAAACGAATTCGTTTGACATGATCAAACAATGAAGGGGGGTATGATATATATATCATATTGATTGAGCGGGGAGGGGAAGGGTGAGGGGGGAAAGAATGAAGTCCATGATACAATAAATTAGTGTTTATCGTCGGTTATTGTGTTTTTAATCTTAGAATTATAAGTAATTTTTCAATAAGATACTTAGTAGATCAAAGAAAATTCTTTATAATTAGTTTTTCATTGTTTATTTGAATAGATAAATATCGTTACAAAGGGGGTACCAAATACATATGCATCATTCAGGTCACTTGATTTGACTCATACACCATTTTTTCTTTCAGAATACTTGAGCTGATGTGCACCATTGGATTGGCGAGAAGGTAGTTAGTGAAACTTCTCTGACAGTGGCTGTATACACGTGGCCATGTGAGAGCATTTTGAAAGAGACAGAGCTGACTCTCACACCGTACTAAAGCATTTGGGGGCAAATCGAGTAGTGATGTAGCATAATAATCACATAAATTCAGAATGATTATAAAATAACGTCACAGCACGCTGATTAACTACTTCTTAAACAATCAATGGTACCGGATACTTAGAGAAGACTCTAAAATCGTCTTATATAAAACCTTCTTATTGTACTTCTTACTTCCATCAACCCTTGTTATTTGGAATATAATGATGTTCCTAATCAACCGTGTTCTAATATGGGAACTTGTCGTGTGAATTAGTGTCTAAGAATACCAAACAATAAGTTTGACTAGTTCGTATTAAGACAGATCATAACATTACCTACCAATAAGTAGTATGTATTTGTTGATAAAAGAAAGTACTCCTTTTTTGGTGATCAATTGTCTATTCATAAAAGATTAATCATAGAGAAACTGTACAATTATCATAGTCTCTGAATATGAAAGTAAATGATGAACGATTAACTTATCATTTAAGTAAAATATATGTAATTTTAGTGGTTGAGATTATGAACCGATTGATTTTAGACCACCGTGGAAAACCTGGAAGCACTGGATGGCCATTTCGTCGTATTATGGGACTCTTCAGCAGTACGCATCCACGTCCTACAATCCGAGTCTCACAACAGGATGAAACAGCTATCCAGTATTTCCAGATTTTCCATTGTGATCTAGTGTTAATTGACTCATGATCTCAAACTGTTTAAATTACTATAATATCTACGAGAAAACCCCTTCTGATACTAAAATATATGTATCAGATAGTTTGATTTAATTGCCTGATATTAATGAGTTCAGGTTTTGGGAAAATTGTCATATATTATGAAGGTGTTGAGATTAGATGGTGGTCTGAGGTAGTCGACAGGAAGCGCTGGACCCGCGGTTCGTGCTACTTGGCACTCGTCAGCAAGGTGTACCTGTAATCTCGAGGGAACTGGTGCTCTCTGGCGGATTCGATCCCGTGTCATCCAGCTTCGCAGTTAGAGACGTTACCACTGAGCTATCCGGATAGCGATTGACCTCCTGTAGAACTGAAATGTAATCACAATTGATTGATCACTGGGTGGTGATCAATGTCATGTGTGTCAAGTCCTTATTTAGTGCAGATCGAATGATATCGACCATGTTGCAATGTGGCCACCAATCTAGGTGACTCGACCCAGTGATCAATCATTTATGATTATGGAGGTGTGTCCGATATAAACCCACTTAGTACTGCTTACTTGAAGCTTCCCATTGTTGTGTAGAACTGCAATTGATCAGTCTTTTATTGACATATGTGCATCCTGTGCGGATTGCCTTAATTAATAAGCATTACGTGCAAAGATGGATAGTGGCTAGCAGTGAAATCCAGGACGCGCGTTTCGTCCTATTTCGGACTCGTCAGCTGGATGTGCCTGCATCCCAGACTTGATGTACACTCTGGGACCCGAACTCAGGAGTTGGCTATCAGAACTCAGTATCTAAGTGTATAACGCGATAGAATTTGAAGCCAAAGATACTGAGTTCTAGTTCTAGATTGAACATCACCTTTGAGATGTAGGTACATCCAACTGACGAGTCTCAAATAGGACGAAAACACTCATCCTTTATTCCACTTCTAACCACTATCTATCCATCTTTGCTTAT